CAATTAGTTACTACAAGGGACCTCCAATAAGAGTGTCAGCTGATTTCTCAACGAAACTTTTCAGGCCAGAAAGGATTGGCATGAAATATTCAAAGTGATGAAATGCAAGGACCTACAACCAAGATTATTTTACCCAGCAAAGCTATCATTTAGAATTGAAGGACAGATAGATTCCCAGACAAGAAAAAGCTAGAGTTCATCACCATTCCCAGTATTATATGAAATGTTAGAGAGACATTTCATCTTTAAGAAGAAGAAAAATAAATTTAAAAAAAGATAAAAATATGACTTTTCAGTCAACGATGGACTGCATATACAATGGTGGTTCCATGAGATTATAATTGAGCTGAAATCCCTGTAAGAAATGGAAATATATATGGTTCAGAAGAAATTTATTTTCTCTGATGGGAGCAATATCTGTGGGGCTTGGCAACAGAGTCCCACTCATAGCAGCTCGATTTTGAGTGTGCAGTTACATCCCAATCAGTCAGCCACTGACCTGTGTCTTAAGAGTACACTGCTATAAATTCTTTGTTGAGGAACTAAGATCCTGTACAAGGACACAGGACCATAGGAGCTACCTTAAGTATTAAGTGCCACTGCCACTTCTGTGGTAAAATGGAGCCGACCTGTGCCTATACTTTGGAAATATTTTCAGATTGTTATGATATAAAGCATATGTAAGTTTTATTTCTTCCAACAATTCAATCAATGCCAGAAAGAACCCTTTGTGCCAGATGGAATCAATGGAACCAAAAACAAATTTCCAAAGATGAAATACTGAGTCCTCAGTTCTACACCTTCTCTATGTTAATTTAAACACCCTCTTTTTTTCTTTTTTCTTTTTTTACAAATACCACAGAGTTCCTTAATTTGACCACTGCTCCAATATGCAATAGCCAAAACTACACTGCCATAATAACCCCTGTGTTCCTTTATCTCTCCATCTTGATTTCTTATTCCTGCTATTCCTCAAGCCACTATTCACTCTCTCCTCTCTCGACAGTCACTATTATGTTAATTTACACCTTACTCAGCCAGTTTCTCCTCACTATTTCCAGTTGATCCTGCCCACATCCCTGTTCATGAATCAGCACTGAGAGCTTTAGTGCTCTATTTCTGACCCTGTTGGAAAGAAGCAGAGGGGGACTTTGTGAGACAGTGTTTATGAAGTCTACAGTAGTGTTCAGTAATGTACTAGGCCTTCATATTCACTCACAACTCCCTTACTTACTCAGAACTTCCAGTCCTGCAAGCTCCATTCATGATAAGTGCCCTATATAGGTACTATTTTTTACTGTATAATAGTATTTTATACATTTTAAAAAATCTTTTATACCATATTTTTTCTGTAACTTTTTTTGTTTAGATACACAAATACTTACTATTGTGTTACAACTGCATACAGTATTCAGTATAGGGATATGCTATACAGGTTTGTAGCCTAGTAGCAATAGGATATACCTACAGCCTAGGTGTGTAGTAGACTATACCATCTAAGTCTGTGTTAGTATACTCTGTGATGTTCGCACAGTGATGAAATCACCTAGTGACACATTTTTCAGAACATATCTTGTTGTTAAGTGATGCATGATCACATACTAGGCAAGATTCCCATATTTTATATAAAATAGTAGACTATTAAATCTAGGTAGACTGAAATAAGTTAAAGATACCCATTGTAATTTCTAGAATAAGCATTAAAATATTAATGCAATGATATATACTTAAAAAGCCAATTGCAAAAAAAAAAAAATGGAATTCTAAAAAATATTTAATTAACCAAAAGAAGGTGAGAAGGGAACAGAAAAACAAAAAAGTAAATGAAATTAATAAAAACAACCCAGAAAATAGTAGTTCTAAATCTAATATTAATAATTAGATTAAATGTAAATGTTCTAAACACTTCAATTAATAAGTAGACATTGTCAGAACAGATTAAAAAAAAGCAAGATGCAACTACATAATGATAAAAGTGAAACACTTTGCCATTTACAGATGGGTTGAAAATAAAAGGATTGAAAAGGTGTTATTTAAATGGTAGCTAGGAATAAACTAGAGAAACTATATTAGTATCAAATTAAATATACATCAAGATGAAAATTACTACTAGAAATAAAAAGAGACATTTAAAATGATAGGAGAAATTCATAAGGAAGAAATCACAAATATTACTGTATTTGCATAATAATGCAGCTTCAAACACAAAGCAAAAACTGACAGAATTCAAGGGAGAAATAGGCAAATTCATAATCATAATTTCAGATTTTAACACCCCTCCTCTAATACTTGATGGAATAACAAGATACAAAAATTTCTAACAAAGTAGAAGATATAAACAAATCTATCAACCATCCATTGATTTGAAGAGAAATGTACCCATTGGTGGCAGAATACAGATTCTTTTAAAGCACACATGGAACATTCAGTAGGTTACACCATATGCTGGGTCATAAAACAAGCCAATATATTTTTAAAATTGAAATCTTAAAGAATATTTTTTGACCAAACAATTAAACTGGAAAAGCTCAAATTATTTGAAAATTAAAGAGTATTCTTCCGAATAATAAAAAGTTCAGTAAAAAGCAGCATGTGAAAATAGAAATATTTTTAATTAAATGATAATAAAAATACAGCATATTAAAATTTGTAGGATGCAGCTAAAGAATTTGTTAAAGAAAAATGTATAGCTTTAGGAGTTATTTTAGAAAAGAAATATTTTAGACAATGGTCTGAACTTCTACCTTAAAGAGAAAAAAAGATGAGAAAAATATAATAGTGAGGACCCTCCTTTTAAAAGTTTGTATTATCTGTCATGAGTTCTTCTTTGTCATTTCTAATATTGGTTATTTGTGCCTTCTCACTTTTTTTTGGATCAGCTTTGGCAGGTGTTTACCAATTTTATTAGTCTTCACTAAACCAATTTTTGTCATTGTTAATCTTCTCTATTATATATTCGTTTTTTGTTTCATTAATTTATACTTTCACCTTTGTTATTTCCTTATCTCTACCTTTGGCTTATTTTGATCTTCTTTTCCCAATTTTTTAAGTTGGAGGCTTATGTTTTAATTTTGAAGCCTTTTTCATTTTCTAATATGTTAAATTAGGGGTATAAAATTCCTTTTATGAATTGTTTAGTTGTAGCCCATATATCTTTGATATGTGGCTTTATTGTTGTCATTCAATTTCTAATAATTCATAATGTCATTCAATTTTTAATTCCCATTGTGATTTCTTCTTTGACCCATGGGTTATTTAGAAGATTTTTCTTAAATTCCAAATATACGATGATCTTCTAGTTACTGTCTTTGGTCACTGTGCTCAAATTTGTGGACTTTTATTCAATTTCTTAGCCTCTTGGTCTCTTCCAGAATTGGCAGTAGATCCTAGGAGAATGGATTAAAACTTAGAGCCTCACTCTCTGGGTCTCCTTTTTATCTAGGATCTTCTCTTCATAATTTTTTTTTCACTGCCTTGTTGATTCTTCAATGCCTCACATTGGTTTTCATCTATTTTATCCAGTTTTACTAGCTGTTCTCAGCAAGAGGCTTGGTCCAAATTATCAAGTCTGCCATTACTAAGTGCAGAACCTCTGATAATGGTGATATTTTATTGTTATAATACATAGAAAGAATGGAGATTGGAGGATTTCATGGATAGACAAACCAGTAAAAGACCCAACAGGGACAGAAAAACAACACTTTGTCCAAAGAAGAGAATGAAGAGGAGAAATAAGATGATACTTCCATTAGTTATTCATCATTGCATAACAAAATACCACAAACCTCGTGGCTTAAGACAACACTTTTATTACCTCAGAGTTTTTAATGGGTCAAGGATCTAGGCATTGCTTAGCTGGGCTCTCTGCTTCAGAGTCTCCCACAAAGTTGTAATATGTCATCCAGAGCTGGGATCTCATTTGAAGGTATAACAGGAGAAGGATACATTTCTAAGTTCATAAATATGGTTGGCATAATTCAGTTCATAAATATGTTAGCATAATTCAGTTATTTAGGGCTATTTGACTGAGGGCCTCAGTTCCTAGATAATTGTTGGCTATATTTTCCTTGTCACATAGTTCTCTTCATAGAGCACCTCACAATATGGCAGCTTGCTTAATCAAACCCAGCAAATGAGAGAGAGTGCTAGTAAGATGGAAATTACAACCTTATGGCGTTCAATCACAGAAATGGTATTCTCTCACCTTTGCCATATTCTACTGGTTAAAAGCATGTCACAGTTCTCACCCATAATCAATGAGAAGGGATTATGCAAAGATGTGAATATCAGAAGGAGGTCATTCAAGACCATCTTATACTTTGCCACAGTATTCACTCATGTATACAATTAAGTTCTTCCTTCCTCTGGCAACAGCAGAGAAAATGGACAGTAGACTAGAAAAACAATAGTTAATTTATGACAGACAACTTTTGGAAAAGCAGCAAGTAAAATATCAAAGCCTGAGTAACAAAGAAAATAAGGCTATCTTTCATAGAAAGAAATTGTGATTAGACACAAATTGAACTATGAAAAGATTGCTAGCCTCTTCTAAGGTTTAATCCAGGAGTACAGTCCTATGAAGCTATATAGCTGAAAAGAGAAGGAAGTTCACCTGGAGGTCTTGAATGCTTATGTAGAGATAAAAACAAAACTGTATTTGTTCATGATGTGAATTGGTTTTGCCTGTTACAGTCATAAGGGAATTTTTCACGACTTAGAAATTTACTTCATTAATATTTGATATGTGTTCTAAATTTTTTCTTTATTGAACATTTCAGTGAAACTTTGAGGATAGAGGATGTATTCTGTTTATCAAAGTATGTAGTCGCATTAGTTCTGGGAAATGGGAAAAAAGGCCACTTTGCTCTATTTGTTAAAACTAGTTATCTAGTTATTGTAGAATTCATGAACAATTGCATAGTTGGAAATGCTACATGTCAATTTTACACATACATTTTAAAATGCGCAACTATGTTAATAGGTTTTCTAATTTTTTATAGGACCCAAATGAAGATACAGAATGGAATGAAATTTTAAGAGATTTTGGCATTCTTCCTCCAAAAGAAGAACCAAAAGATGAAATTGAAGAAATGGTTTTACATTTACAGAAAGAAGCAATGGGTATAGTTGTGTGTTTGGTGGGCTGGGTGAAGGGGATAATACAGTTAAGATAGTGATAGTGTATTTCATGAACTTAGAGCAAGAGAAGGCATTCAAGATTATTTAATATAAGTCCCACCCATACTTTTCAAATTCCTAATTCATATGCTCAAAGTCACATGCTGGTTAGTAACAGAGCTGAAATGTCCTGGTATCTGACCCAGTGAGCTTTTTTCCCCTCTACCTTGTGGTTACTTCCTATTTTGATCATTCTACATAGTATGTATTATTTGTCAAGATTTCCAGGTACTTGGGAAATTTATGGGGTCTAACAGATTTTCACATCTGCTTTTAAATGTAGCCTGGTAGTTATGTGAACTCTGAGAGAGTAATAACACTTTAAACAAACCTGAGGCAGTCACATCATATTGCAGAAACTACAACATTAAAGACATTCTTGATCTCCATTTAGCTACTGTATTGTTTTTTCTAGATATCTGACTATAAATTAAAATTAGTTTTTAAACAATTCGATTATTTACAATTTATTTTGTTTTAGTTAAACCATATGAAAAGATGACTCTTGCACAGTTGAAGGAAGCTGAAGATGAATTTGATGATGAAGATATGAGAGCTATTGAAACATATAGGTACAGTGATTCATTGGGTAATTTATGAGTTTTGGAATGAACAAGTATTGTAACAATTAAACAGTGAAAAAGATCTATTTTGTCTACAGAATGGATTAAAAAAAGAACAAAACTAATTTTTAGTAAACTTTAAAACTAACTCACTTTCTAGAAGATGGAATTTTTTCCTGATTTTTTTTTTGCCTTTGCTTAAATTAAAAACTATCCAATAATGTATCATAGACCTTCATCAAATTACATATGAATTTCTATTTTAAATAGAAACAGGGTATTTGCATAATCTCAAAGTATCTCCCCCCAAAGGTCAATAAATGGCCAATAAAAAGAGGGCCATGATTTCCTTGAAGCAAGATGTCTGTTAAAGATTGCTATTATTTAATAATTAATTACCAATCATAAATTCTTTCAGAAATTCGAATATTTCTCAACTTTTCCTGCTATAAAAACCAGGCAAAGAAGTTGCAAAAACTATGCTGTAGAAAAAGATCTCATGAATGTAGGCACAAAATTTTAAACAAAATATTAGCAAATTAAGTCCATCAACTTAGAAAAAAAATACTATATCCTGAACAAATGGGATTGGTCACTGGAATTGTTTTAACATGAATTAAACAAAAAACAAAAAACAGTGAATTGGGTTAGAAGTAGCAATACTCTAGTAGCAATGAGCACGTAAAAATGGAATCAGTGTTCCTCGGAAAACTGCTTTATTCCACAGTGTGCGTTGAGAAATTACAGCATGAGTCTGGAGCATTGTATGGTGCCAGCAAGTAAAGAAGTGTTAAAAAGATTTTTTTAGATTTTATTTTATTATTTTTATTTTATTAAATTTATTGGAGTGACATTGGTTAATAAAACTATACAGGTTTCAAGTGTATAATTCAATAATACATCGTATGTGTATTGCATTGTATGTTTACAATACAAAGTTAAATTTCCTTCTATCAACATATATTTTACCCCCTTTACCCTTTTCTACTTTCCCCCTCCCCCTCTTCCCTCTGGTAACCACTAAACTGTTGTCCATGTCCATGAGTCTCTGTTTGTCTTGTTTGTTGTTTTCAGTTTTATATTCTACATATGAGTGAAATCATATGGTTTTCAACTTTTTCTGTCTGATTATTTCACTTAGCATGATAATCTCGAGATCCGTCCATGTTGTCACAAATGTCAGTATTTCATCTTTTCTTATGGCTGAGTATTATTCCTTGTACATATATGCCACATCTTCTTTATCCAATTATCTATCAAAGGGCACTTTGGCTGTTTCAATGTCTTGGCCACTGTGAATAATGCTGCATTGAACGTCGGGGTGAATCTATCTTTACAGATAAATGTTTTCAAATTAGAATTTTTTTTTTGTTTGCTCTGTTCATTTGTTGCTTCTATCCCACATATAAGTTATATCATGTGATTTTCAACCTTTTCTGTCTGGCTTATTTCACTTAGTATGGTTATTTCAAGGTCCATCCATGTCGTTGCAAATTCGTGGACATGGACATTGGACTAGTGGTTACCAGAGGGGAGAGGGGAGGGAGAAAGGGAAAAAAATAAAAAATAATGAAATGTTAAAAAATATAAATAAATAAATAAATAAACAAACAAATAGATAGATAAATAAATAAATAAATATATTTTTTGAGGTGTAATGGCCAAACTAAAAGACTTCACGACGGCCGGTGATGGAACGACTTGAACAACAGATATCCATGAGCCCATAATGATATAAATAACTAACTGAAAACGTAAACAAATTCAGAGGAAGAAACACTTCATGCTCACTGAAGAATTCCAATTAATAAGTGTATACAGAATGAGGAAAACAGAGAGTCACTATCAGGACACCACAGCAATAATCCCTAATGGCAAGATCTGCTGATAGATGCTAAAATGAGTGGGTGAAATTTTAAATAGAAACAGGGTATTTGCATAATCTCAAAAGATCTTCCCCCAAAGTATTTAATAATTATAAAGATGGAAATAGTAAGTTTCAATGTAGAGTTTTGGTGGATCCCATCTTGGGGAAGTGACCAACATCACAAATAATACATGTTGACATCAAGTAACTCCAGATATGATGTGCTGAGGATGACATATCACCTCTGTGGTATCCTTTTCCATAATGCATAACCTCAATCTAATCATAAGAATATATCAGTGAAACCCAAATTGGAGGAACTTTCAAATAAAAACTGACCAGTTTGATGTCATGAAAGATGGCAGAGTATAAAACTCCAGAGATCCATCTCTTTATCTAGACAATGGTCATACTGGCTGAAACTCTGAAGTGACAGATTTGGAACTCTGGAGTCTATTTTAACATTTGCGGCTTCTAGTATAAAGCTGGCATTTGGTACTGGTTGATTTCAGTCCTCAGTTATGGTAACAGCTATTCATTCCTCAATCCCTCTTCCGCCCCCCGCCCCCTGCCCGCCGCCCCGCTTCATGGCAAGTAGTGGACAGCAACCTGTGTTTCTGGTAAAGATTGCTGGAGCAGGGTGGGCAATAAACACTTTGTCCTCAAATATCAAGGTTCTGTGTTCTGACTGTGGATTGCTGCTTCTGAATGTAGAGGTACAGGCACAGAGTCTGATCATCATTGTGTCAACCCTCACTGGTTCAGGTGGCTTCCAGGGTATTTAAAGGAGCCACATTTATATTTTAGAGACATTAAAAAACAACCATATATATGGGAGAATTTAGAAAGCCTTGGGAGAGATGAAGGCTCAGAAAAGAAAACACTTTATTCTTTCACCTCAGGCTGATCCCTGGCACAGAGACATTCTACAGTAATAATAAAACATACATGGGGAGGAGAAGAATCTGATTTCCGGAGTTATCACGTTATATGAATCAAATGTTTGATTTTCAATAAAAAAATCACAAGGCATACAAAGAAACAGAAAAGTATGGCCATTCAAAGGAACAAAATAAATCAATACAAAATATACCCAAGGAAGCCCAGATGTCAGATTTGCTAGACAAAGACTTTAAGACAACTGAGTTAAAGATGTTCAAAGAGCTAAAGGTAGACATGGGCAAAGACAGGAAAATATTGTATGAACAAAATGGTAATAGTGGGAGGTGGCTCCATAGTGTAGTGGTTAGCATGTCTGTTTTACACACAGTAGGTCCTGGGTTTGCATCGTAGATGGAGCCACAGACCATACCCTGGGTGCGCCAGGCCCCAGGTGCGTCAGGCCTTGGGTGCATGCCGTGAGCATGTGGGAGGAGACACCCTGCCTTCAAAGATCCAGTTCTTAAGGGAAAATGGCAACATCCATAGGTCAGGGGTGGAAGTGGGGAGGGGATTAAAGATGGGAAAAAATGGTAATAGCAATGAAGAGAAATTATAAAATGAACCAAAAAGGTATTCTGAAAGTAAAAAGTAAGATAATTAAAGTAAAACATACAGTAGAGGGCTTCAAAAGCAGATATGAAGAAAGCAGAAGAAAGAATCAGAATATTTGAAGGTAGGACAATTGAAGTTATTACATCTGAGGAACAGAAAGAAAAAAATAAAAGTGACCTGTGGTACATTATTAAGTGAACCAACATATGTAGCATGGGAATCCCAGAAAAAAAAGAGAAAAAGAAAAAATATTTGAAGAAACAATGGCTGAAAACTTCCCAACTATGATAAAAGATATAAATTTAGAAATCCAAGATGCTCGATGAACTCTAAGTAGGATAAGTACAAAGAGACCCATACAAAGACACATAAACAACTGTTGAAAGACAGAAGCTTGAAATCAGTAAGAGAGAAGTGACGTGTCCCATACAAGGGACCCTTAATAAAACTATGAGCCAATTTCTCATCAGAAACCTTAGAGGCCAGAAGGCAGTGGGTTGATATATTTAAAGTGCTACAAGAAAAAAAGAACTGCCAAGCAAGAATTCTATATCTGGCAAAACTATGCTGCAAGAATGAAGGAGAAATTAAGACTTTCCTAGGTAAAAGCTAAGTGAATTTATTACTACTAGAATTGCCCTAAAAATTATCTATGAGAGTCCTTCAGTCTAAAATTAAAGGGCACTAGACAGTAACTCAAAGCCATGTGAAGAAATAACACGTAAAAGTAACTACATAGGCAAATATAAAAGCTAGTATTATTGTATTTTTGGTTTTTAACTCCTTTTTCCTATGTGATTTATAAGGCAAATGTATAAAACAATAATTATAAATCAATGTTAATGGACACACGATATATAACGATGTAGTCTATAACAATAAAAACATAAAGAGGGAGACATGGAAATGTATAGGAAGCAGGATGTATGCTATTGAAACTAAGTTGGCATTATTCACAGTAGGTCATTATAAGATATTAATTTTAATCCTTAAGGTAACCACTAAAAGAATACAGAAAAGGAAAAAAGAATGAAATCAAAATGGTACACTACAAAAATCAACTAAATACAAAAAGAAGCAGTGATGGAAGAATTGAGGAACAAAAAGCGTATAAGAAATACAGAAAATAGCCAAATGGCAGCAATTCTTCCTTATTAGTAATTACTTTGCTGTGTTGGTCCCACGCTATTAATTTTGATGCTATTGGCTAGGAATGCTTGAGCCTCTATGATTCATATATTATGGCTGGAGCAGCTCTTGTGGTTCTTACTATGACTGCAGGATGTCTTCAGCAAGAAACTATCACGAAAACTTGAGGAACAAGGTTTATTACTCACAGGTTCTGGAGGATACATGGCACGCCTAAGGGCCACACAGCCAGGTCATGGGGAGAGAGAGATAGAGATAGAGAAAGGGAAGGACAAGGGAGATGGGGAGGGAGAAAACTCGTGACTGCCTTATTAGGATCCAATTGTGGGGTATCTAGACTTTGAGAGTTCATTCAATATTGGCTAATTTAGAGCATAAGAGCTAGAATTTGAGCACAGGAAGAAGAAGGGTCACTTAAGCAGTCAGCTATCTAGGTTACCCAGGGCTTTCTGAAAGAGGGAGCTTCATGAGTAGGAGAGGCCTAATTCCTTATTTGGTT